AATTTTCACTTTTTAAATTCAGATTGAAAATTGCAATGCAATAATACTTACAGGTTATGGCGAATAACCTGGTCTACATTTTATTGACTTTGACGAGGAGACGAGGACGGCCGCAGCCTACCGACTCTGTGGGACTCATTCCCAACGGCGCAAATAATTGCAAACTCAGTTCACTAGGAACCTACAACTCCCCAATGTGGGTACACATGAGCATAACATGCCCTGACGTAGTGTCGTTCCTGGTCTCGCCTCCAAGTGCCTAGCCAACGCCCCAATCTGGATTTTATACCAAAGACTGATGGTCTAAAAGTATTTCAAAACCTCAGAACATGTTAAGTTAATCTACTGACAGGCGCGGACTGCTCAGTTAAATCCCACCATTGTTAAATACTTATAGGATTAACAGCTTATACATTGTAATGCCAAAGTGTTCAACTGGAGTCAAGTCATGATAAGATTACCCCAATTCAAGCTTCGTGGACTTCTAACACATCAAAAAATTTAGGTTGGGTCTCTCCCTTAATACAATCACACAAAAAAGTTTGAATTGAATTGAATTGAAAAAAGTTTCAGAGTATGTGAATTAGGTTGAGGTCTCTCCCGTAATATAATCACAAAAAATTTCACAGTATATATATCAATTAGGTTGGGGTCGCTTCCCCATAATACAATCACAAAAAGAAAAAGCTATACAGTATAAGTCTGGAAATTAAATATTCACAAGACACTTTAAAATCAACTTGTGACACACAACAACGAAACACCAAAGAAAAGAAATGTTATGACAGCAATATCCAAAATTCTATAACTCTTTTTGTGCTGAAATAGCTGTAACATTGACGTTTCTGAGTGCCCAGATGCGCGGAGTGGCATCACGGTTTTGATCACGCATGTGGAAATTGGCGTTACATGTAGCATAAAAATAAAAAGGCACAAAAACACCTTCAGAGTACATGGCAATTTAACAAAAATTGAAAAGATGGTTTAATGGAACACAAAGGTGCATTTTTATGGTTAGCATGACGTAATAATTCCTTGCATATCCCTTACCACAAAAATCCAACGCCAGACATCAAACACAATTCAAAACTGAACTTTTCATTTTAAATTTTCAAATATTTTCAGGAAACAGTGAAGCACGTGTGTTTATGAAATCTAAGTTTTATTTCTCTATTCAAAGGATATTTATATATTTATGAAAATATAGGAGGAAATCACACATGCTTCTTAATTGATTGCAACCACTGGTGTTATCCATGGTTTACCATTCAGTTGAACTAATTAATATGTACTGTATACCATGTAGCTTTGCACCATCGGTGTTTACTACAAAACACCATTGAAAGGAACCATTGGTGTTATCAGTGGTATACCATTGATTTGAACCATTTGCAATGGTAAACCATTTAGTGGAACCATTGTCTTATCAATGGTATACCATTGAGTTGAACCAGTGGTATGATCCATGGTATGACATCAAGAGGAATCTTGAGTGGAACAAATGGTTCAGTCAATGGTATACCGTCCAGTGAATCCAATGATGTTATATCAGTGGTATATTTGGTAAACTCAATGGCGTACTCGCGTCTTATGCTAAAGCTCCCCAGAGTCAAAGTGTTTTGTTGAAATGGTCTCGAAACCTGTACACAGTATAATGCAGCAATTATGAGGTCTTGTTATCAATGCGTTTATAGTATTTCGGTTTCAACCTTTATTTAAAGGCAAGTAGGAAAATGTGTAATTACAATGTACCCAGAAAAGTACCTACCCTCTGATTTAACAAGAAAATCCGTGCTCAAAATGAAGATATATAGTTCTTGTGCGAAATACCGTGTGAAAATACATGTATATCTACCTGAAAAGGTAGATCAAGGAAGTGTGCCTATGGGCACAATTTTTTTTTTTTTACATTTTATTAGCAACAGAATCTTTAGTAACAAGATCGCAAGAAATATCGTCGCTTTGCTCCCGAAGTGACAAAACCTCAAAAGCATGAAAAGCTGTTTTTATTAAAACGAAAATACACTGGAATTGGCGTAAAGCATGACGAGATTAAAAGAAAGCCGGTCCCATTTACATTAGGTTGCATGTGATAACCGCAGGATGAACCTTGCTATTTGTTAAGGTTGAGTACAGAATGCTTTTAACAACGTCAATGAAACTTTAATATGAAAAAATACCTTCACATAACATTTGCCCTTATTGAAAATTCGAACTGCTGGTAATAATCGTAAACAACTTTGCCATCATTGTCATGACTGAGGTTCATTGCTTTTTGGTCAAGAATTCATCCGTGTTAAGCTCCACTGACGCCACAATATTGCGCAAGTTAATAATGTCATGGACGTATAGTGTGAGGTAAATATCGATTCTGCACTGCCTGAAGGTTTAGAAATACCCAGTCCTCTGTATTTTACAGTGTTTATGCATATACATGTATTCTCCTTATAGTCTGTGGGACGCGAGGCCTTTTTTTTTCGCTCGCCACGCGGTCTGGTTCGCCGAATTTTATAAACTTACACAGGTTATGGTGTACCATATTGAAAAAACTTTGTTCCCTGATCCACAGTTTGTTTGAGAATGAGAAAATCTGGGATAAACGCCGAAAATTCTACATGAGAACAAACATAAGAAACAGCGCCCTCTACTGACATAGTCAGAAACCTTTTCTCACGCAATGGCCGTCCGAGATCGGGCGGTCCATTGATATCCATTAGTAAAAATTCGGCCAATACTTGCTAGTTGCTGGTATAGATGATACTTCTTTCATATTATATTCTACTTTTTTTAATTTCTCATCGGGATGCCAAAATATCTTCGATACAGTTATGTTGAACACGAAATTATCATGTTTTAAGTTTAAGATCGAATGTTATGCATTTAGCTACAAAAACATCGATTGGTATAATTAAACCCCAGACTAGAATAATTTTGTGAACTCTTATCTCAGGGTGTTTCCAATAATCTTAGAAGTGCCGCATCTGGTGGAGCATCTGAACTTCTGAAACATCTTTTCAAAATTATTATGCCTGAAATTACAAACAAAATAATACAAGTTTGATGCAGCCTCAAAAAAGGAAAGCCAGTGGGCCGTTGGGGGTTGGTGGTTTTCACGGAATGGATGGAGCAACAACAAAACATGAATCGGCTTTTAAAACAATATTTAAAATAATAAAAACGGTAAGACGGTTTCAGCTGCAACAAATTGCAGTACTAGTTGCCACTCAAATCTTCCAAATAGGGGAATATAAATTGTTTTTCTCTTTTTAAAAAAGTTTGCAAACATAAATTATGTAATGGGCACGTGACGCAAACATCTGGTGCTCATATAGCCCGTTTTGTCAGTTGAAAACAAACGAGTAATGCTCATTCAGTACAGATTGAACAAACTTATGTCTATTAAATACCATCTTTCTTGTGTGGGTAAAAACTGTAAAGGTTAAAATTGCCCCCCCCCCAACAAATAAATAAATGAAATAACATTAGATTAAATGAAATAAATTTGTATTTCTTTTGGTGATTACTTAGGCCTAAACGACATTGCGCCTGGAATATATTTTTTAAAAACACCAAATACCAAAACGGTATTTGCAGTTATATTGCCGTCTGTATTTTTTTAATGTCGGAGACCGTGGATTGACGAGTGCGACCCACTGATCTCTATGTTTTGTTGTCAGACAGTTGGACAATCATTATTCATTTTTTATGCAAATAGGGCTATACGTAGTAATTTGCATAGGTTCTGTAATTTACATATTGTTATATGAAACATAAGAACCTTTGACCTCCGTGACTCCAGCGCTCACGGTCAGATCACTGCGTGTATACCTCTGATAAATAATTAGTGCAAACTTATTTTGTAAAAGTCAATATACATGTACACGTATAAGGCTTTGTGAACCCTGTGAACTTTAATAATTTTATCATTCGGATGTTTTGACTTTCAACTGTAATTAATGTAGGTTATTTAGATATTATTTTATGAGGATTTTTCCCACAGCGCATTAATATGTAAACAAGCTGTTCTATATATATGTAACAAGCTGTTCTGTTTATATGTTTCCTCGGCCTAAAGCTCCCCCTAGCGACCTGGTCCAAGGGTGGCTTTTGCTGCATATACGTGTACTGTTGATGTACCCTAACGTGGCGCGGCCCCTAACGTGGCGCACTTTTATTTTTCGCCTGTAGCGCCTAGCTAGAGCAAAAGTTTTAAATGAAATTTCGCAGAAAGTGAAATTTCATCAAGTTCTAAACACTCCCGTTCATAAATCGCGAGTTTATTTACCCGTTAAAAGTAAAAAGAAAAAAATTATTTTGGCGTGATTTTCCGATTTTATTTTCAAGTGCAAAGTGAACCCTTTGAAAATGCCCCGAAAAATAAGAAAATAATTTTCTGACAAACATCTGGCTGGGTTTGTAAGTAAAGATAATAATGATTTATCAGAATTTATCAAGTTTAAAGAAATTCTTAAATGTTAATTTGGAATTTTCTGAGATTTATTCAAGTGCGCCACGTTAGGGAACACTCCGCCAATTTGTGCCCAATTTCCGGACGCGACCGTTTTTGCATTTCGGATTAAATTTTATGAAACCGAAATTGTTCACAGAGGTTAAATAGCAAGCATTAAAAAGGTAAAAGTACCAGTATTTCACTGCATGAATTTGAGGTTTATCAACAAAGAGGTTTGGCAACACTACACGAGGAAAGTCGGGTAAGCTTCGAAGTGCGCCACGTTAGGGAACACAACTATATACTCGCTCCACCGGGATACACGTAGGAAGTGACATTTTTGGTTGAAGTGGGGCTTTTGTAAGACCAATCAATTAAGACAGGTGGTCGGCATGATGTGTTATGAAAAGGCATGCGTGTGATATACTGTTTGAGTTCATTTCTGCATTTGCACGCCGGAAAAGTTGATCGTTTTTACTAATTTTTGGAATTAAAAATTAAATTGCGCCCTCAATATATCAATTTCACGCTAAATTACACCCGCGCCCTCTATCATTATGATTGATATACCAAATGCGCTGACAAATGACCTGCATGCATGACTCGACTGACGGCGGTCGCTGCAGCAGGATTGCATGTGGTAGGCCTATGCCCCTATTTTGCCCAAAATAATTAAGCTTGGCTTGGATTGTGAGTTTTCGTGTCGTTTCGGCATGTTCAATTGCCATATTTTAGAATAGAATCCACGCCGTGCACGCTAGTATTATGATATGAATAAATTCTTGTGTGAATCGCTGTGGAGAGTATTGTCCAATTTCCGGACAAATAGGCTTCACGATAAATTGGGCGATCGTGTAGCGTAGGGCCCCTGTTTAGTTTCGATCAAATTAGAGTCAATGATGTTTTTGTATTAGGCCATCTTAGCTTGAGTAACTCTAGCCCCATAAATGTGGCCTATTTACTGGACTGCCTCCGTAAACATAGGCCACACACATCCACATGTACAAAAACGTGTCGACTTTGCCAAATTTTGATTTTCGTTCACATTTAGGGCTTAGGCTTACTTTGTAGGTTTTTTTTTGCTTTAGAAGCATTCTCACCCTCTATATAGGCTAATCAGAAAGTGCTGCCTTTTTCAGATGTCCATTTTTAGTGAAATTTCCAGATACATTTGCACACGTTCGCGTATCAAAATTTCAACATGAAATTTCACAAAAATTAGACATCTGAAAAAGGCAGCACTTTCTGATTAGCCTATATAGAGGGTGAGAATGCTTCTAAAGCAAAAAAACCTACAAAGTTTCTGGTATGGAGCTTGCCCAAAAAGTGATGCGGCGACGCGGCTTTTTTTTTTTTTTACCTGACTTTTTTGCTTCAAATGCGTGCTGATGACTGCAAATGGTGTCCGACTAAACTTAGTGCAAATATATGGGAGTCCAGAGAGGCCACATAAAGCTTATTCTCGACCATAACCCAATCTAAAAACACGTTAAAATTGTGCAGCAGCAGTATTCCAGTCAAACCAGTGAGTTTGGCGGTTTTGGGACATCATCTTTCATTAAAAAAAACCTTTTTCATTTTGCCGACGCGCATGGCTACGCCGACGCGCGCACATACCAGAAACCGGAGACTTTTTTTTTTGGCCTAAAGAATACGACATTTACCGCTTCGTGTTGTGCATACCCAGAGCCGTTTCAAAGCATTCGAGCGTGTATCTGTTCAAGCGTGTATCTGTTTCTACTCTTCACCATGGGATGCGTGCGCGTTCTCCGCGAAACATTGGATGTGCGAATACGCAGACAACGCTGATTGCGTGTTAGGAATATTATCAAAACAATCTGTGCGCGTTTTTAAGAATAAAAACGCTCATTACCTGAAATACTGTGATATGATTGGCTTCTACCGAAATTGGTAGAAGCCAATCACATCGAAAATTAATTTCCATAGACTGTGTACAAACCTGGAACAAACCAGCGCGTACGCTTGGCAGATTGACCAAGTCTGGATTGCTGCATCACTTGAAAATAACATGTGCATGTACGTTTTTAACATGATGGTCCGGATTCGACGCATGAGGGCGCGCGTTACATGTATGTACTGTAAGGACCATTGGTCTGTGTATATGGAGATCAATGGTAAGGACGTATGCGATGTGAGTGGATTTAGGCACAGACCGAGCGCAACCCAGACTTGGCCAAGTCTAGCCCTAGTCCCACTGTTGCATCGTAACTAGGAATCAACGGATTTGTAAATTTGGTGCGTTTTGGGGTGTTTTCCGGTATTTAGTGTTTTCCGGTGTTTTCCGTTTTTTAGTGTGTTTTCCGGTATTTAATGTTTTTTGGTGTTTTCCGGTGTTAAGTGTGTTTTCTGGTATTTAGTGTGTTTTCCGGTAGTTTTCTGGTGTTTTCCGGTAGTTTTCCGGTGTTTTCCAGTATATAGTAACACCCGAAGGGCAAAACCTAATTTGATAAACAAAGTTCATCAAATCAGTGAATAAACTGGCAGTTTGTTTTCGCCATCTCCTAAAAATAAAGAAGAGAAATCATGGATAGCTGGGTAGACACGTGAAGAATTGGCTATTTTGGAAACCCTTTCCAGACAACAAACTCGATAAAAATCTTAAAGTGCACAAGAAAATTGTGTTCTTAAAAAGTTAACAAAACCAACTAAATTGCGAGACTTCAATTGCTGGTTGTTTGTAATTACATATTGAAAAACCATGAGGCCACGAGCGAACAAATGAAGCGTGAGCTTGGCTGGTTCCCGATTCACGAATCCTCAGTGTAAGTAACATTGGGGAGGTGAAAACTGGACTTACCTGTAATGCAGCCGCGCCATTGTGCGCCAGATTGAGGAATGGAATTGATTTAAAAGAATTGTACTCGATGTGTACACCTGACTACTGGGGTCGAGTACCGAGTACCAAACCGTCGAGTCCGTGCAAAATTTGAGTATGAAGAATCAATTGATACGGGCCAAATTTTTTCGAGTACTGATAGTCGAGTGCGGGCCGAGTACTTGTGTGTACTCGAGTTGTACTCGGGTACGAGTACGAGTTCTCCAACACTGCTCAGAGCTAGGACGAGACGTGTGTAACGTGATATACATTGATACATGTACTCTGTTTAGTACATGTATGCATTTCGAGAAACCCACGTTTGTAGTCGTTGACATTGGCACATGCATTGTCAGTTGTCACACATTGGTTGTCCAAGATTCTTGGGCACAATGACTTGACGTACATGTGTAACAAAAAACACAAGTTGATCGTCCCCGCCTGCATCCTTTTTGGAGCCAGATCCTTTTATTTTATATTTTGTAATTCTTTCTTCTCACCTCAAAAAGCGTTGTTTTTTTTGTGCACGGAACATGCATGAATCGAGTAAAAAACATAGACAAGTTAGAACATTGTTAAACTTCAATATTTGACTCTACTTAAGCCGACTACTTACTAGTATTAGAATAGCTAATACAGTAATAGTAATAAAAAGCTGGAGGTCAGTTTGAACTGAAAGTTGGCACAATTTGCATGGCGGCCTTGGAAAAAAATATAAAATAAAAAATTAAAAGCCCCATCCTCCTCTTTTTGAAGAAATCTGGACGATCAACTGGTGTTTTTTTTTACTTGGCCAAGTTGGCCTTAACTTGATGCGGAAGAGTGACCAATGTCAGTACGTAAAGTACACATAAAAGCGACGTTTTGTAATGTGAATTGAATCGGTATGTTTCATATTATTTGTGTTTACATTGCATTCTTCAGGTGAGACATTGACAACTAAGTTCTGTTCGTGTGCGGAATCAATCAAGCAGAGAGACTTCTAGAAGGTAACAAGGATCCCATGAGACAATTCTGTAATCTTAAACATGACGTAGTCGGACTGGTGATTGCCTTACATGAGAGTGTCTTTTATCCACCACACATTAACTAAAACAATAACATTGCAGTAGAACCAGTGAGCCTGAACCTGTACAATTTCACTTGAGGGTTTCAATTAAACCTCATCTAACCCCCGGTTCAGACAGGCGTTCCAGAGTCGCGCCGAACCGAATAGATTAGGAGCGACTCCAGGTCGACCTTATTAGAATTTTGGTTTCAGACAGGCGAACTTAATACATTGGAGTACTGTGTACAAACCAACAAACACGGGATCTTAGCAACAAGCCGACATTGTGCAACGTCGATGTATAGGCTGCGTGCGCGTTCCTTCACTACGCAAACGTCTGGCCGTGTATGTAATCGATGCATTGGCGCTGATGAGAGCGTGCTGCACGAAGTGCGCGCGTATTGAAGAAGACAGCTAGCACGTACGCCATGTGCGCTCGCGTTATCTCTTGCACGTCACGCCACGTACGAACAATTTGTATTTCAAGACTGCGCCGTGACTGTACAACATGGATACTGGAAGTCTCGGTTTTCCGCTTTAAAAAAATGTATCTTGTGTTGTAGTGGGGCGACAGTGGGACGTACATTTATTGTAAGTTTTTGCTCTGTAACACGACATCGAAATCTCGTGTTTGAAAGGATTAAATCTGCAAAAAGAACATTTTAAATTATAAGCACTGCGTCGCGCGTGCGTTAAACACATCGTCCGCAGTCCTTATTTTTGAAGGTCACTACTTATTAGCATACATTTACATACATTTGTATTGAGTTCGGCTCATGACTAGAGCGACGTCTGAAACCAAGTCGCTCCAGATGAGTCGTTCTAACGAATCCAACAGTTGATTTTTCCCCATCGAGAGCGTCAAGTCGCTCCTAATTGTTTCAGACATCGGACTTATGACGCACTTAATTCAAATCTAGACTTTCATTTGGTTTGGCGCGACTCTGGAATGCTTGTCTGAACCTAGTGTAAGACTTCTACAAGCCAAAGTGGTCTACATTTGGTCTATGTGTAATTAACTGTTTGAATTTGTCATTGGAATTCACTCCATCGGAAATGCACTGTGAGTGACATGATTGATAAGGTCAGCAATTTCATCAAAATTGAGGGGACTTGATGGCCTGGCTTGACTAAATATTGATGAACGTAGGCCTGGAGGCTTAAACTAAGCAAAGCATGCATTGGAAGCAGTGTGATTGACGGATTTTGGCAGACTTGGTCCAGTACGTAATAAAAGACAGTAGGGAATTAGGGTAAAGTGCAAGTAACCAGTATTTTGTATCCCGTCGGTTGAATCAGTACAATGTATGTTTAATTTTGTTTGTGTTCCTATTGCTCACTCCAGGTGGCAACACGGACAACAAGATCCGGTTCTGTGTGGAATCAGCAGACTCTGAATCCATCAAAAAGACCTGAAGAAGGTAACACCCAGCCCGTGTGATGATTCTGTAATCTTAGACATGCAGTAATGGGCTCCGTGTGCCAACAAAAGATTGCGCATTTTTACCACTTAAAGCTCCGTGGACGGGACACAGAGCGTGAGCATACTGTACTGTAGGCCTACTGGTTTGCGCGCGAAGTACGCGACTTCCTGAATGTGCATGAGCTACAGTGTCTTCGCGTTAGCGTCAATCGTCGTCGGCGCACGAATACGTTCAAATTTTACTTGCGATGGTGTTCTAGACTAATCCCCACCCCAATAACTTTGGATCATTTGAAATACACAGTGACTGGACCGGGAACCAGTCTAGGTCTCCCCCAGTTCTCCTGTTCTGGCCGTTGAAGGAGTACCTGGGCACAGAGCATATAAGACTGATAATTACCTTACACGGCAGTGCATTTCAGTAATCCGTCACACATTGACTAAACCAATATTTTAACGTGCAAGGTACAATTTCAATTCAGGGCGTCTACGACCCCTTATAATTCATCTCATCACAACCCTAAAGGGAATATACATCATTTGCTTTTGCTGTAATTTTCAGAAATGGATGGAGTTGGGGGGTTGGAAATATATAGCAAATATAGTTACACTGACTTTTTTGAGGTTTTGGGTTCGAAAATGCTATAAAAACCAAGAAAAACAATCATTTTCCTGTAGTCTGGTTCCTTGACTCCATATAAGAAGAAACAGAGCAGTTTACATACATTGGGGAATTGTAAGGTCAGGGAACCAGTCTAGCTGGCTTGTACCCGTTCATAGGTGTGTAATCGATTGCAAACAAGTGCGATGGTCAATTGGGGCCAGTATTTGAAAAGAAAGCCAGTTTTTTTCCAACGCTGGTCGGCCGACCAGCGTTGGAAATTGATACAAAAATACCACTTTTCTTGAAAATAACAGTATACCAGGTGCCATGATTTTACAGGATGCTTTACACTGTCATTCACTAACAGTCCAGCAAGGTATTTCAAAATGATTTGGTAGTTTTATTTTTTGATGTTTGCAGATGTTGTATTTTCCCTTTAAGATTTCGGAAGTGGTTTACTCAACTTGCTTTAATTTGTCATCGTATTAGATGAGACAAAACGCCTCAAAACTCATGTCTTATGCTGATGTTCCACAGAGTCAACCTTCCATTATAAGAATCTTATCAGGGTTATTAGTATTTTATGTAAATGAGTAAGATCTGATAAGATTTATTCCACAATCGTATAAGAATCTTATAAGAATATTCACAGAATCAGATAAAAATCTTATCAAGTTTTTAAAAATCGTATAAGATTTTGAATATCTTATAAGATTTTAAAAATCTTATAAATACTTTACTTATAGAAACCTACCCCATGATAAATGCAAATATAGACATGCTCGTTTGTAAATGTCTATGAAAAACCATGAATTACAAAAGGATGTTGTTTTTGCCGACCATAATTTTTTTAACAAAATGATACCTCAACAAAAGAATGGATGGCCTGACAGTAACACGACAGAAAGTAGGCTAAAGAGTTAAATTAATACTCACGGTTCGTTTTAGGACAAAACAACACATGACACTGATCATTAAACAGCTTCTCTGCAGAAGAAAAACTTGAATACAATTCATTTTGTTAAATGAAGTGATCAGAACCATTCATCTGATCTATGAAATATTACAAAAAAGGTAAATTAACATCTTGCAAATTGCTGAATCTTGTATACTTGTACCATATTAACTCTTGAAAAATCTGTGTGCGGAAAAGCCTGTGTTCTGTTCATCGAACAGACATAGTTCCTTTGTTTTTGTTTTTGGGGTGTTTTTTTTTTAGCTGTTAATGAAACAAGGCTGTCAATGTCCATTGCAAAATCACTTGGCTGCTGAGTTAAAGAATCCTCCAATGCACTTCTGCTGGAATGCATCGGCATACATGTACAACTGATTTGCAATTCGGGCGATTCACAATGCAGAGCGCCACCAATAGTTTGCCACGGAGAGTTCATTTTTCCCAGTGCATTGTGGGAGATGGTCGACAAATTCGCAGCACATGTACAGGACATTTGAAATTGTTGGTTTTTTTTCCGGTCAGTTGTTTCGTAAGCGTATGATTCAAGTATATGTTTGCCCTTTTCTTTTCTTTGTATCAATATGGTGGTTTTTGGTAAGGCGGCAGGACGCTATGCCCCAATCTATAACAAATTAGATCAAGTGTCTACTGACACTCATTCAAATGGGCAATATTTTGTCGACCGTAAACTTGAAAAGTTGACTCTCCATGGCAAACTCTTGGTGGCGCACTGCATTGTGAATCGCCCGAATTAACAACACTCATAGTACAAAAGTTAATATAATGCAGCCATTTTTTTTTTCATTATTAATTATTTCAGATTCCTGTTATGTGACTGAGCATTCTGTTGTGGATTCTCGTGAATCAGATCCGATCACTGACAGACCTCAAGAGGATCAACAACCAGCCAATTGTGACGATACTCCCATGATCCTCGGCAGACAGGTGCTTGTAACTCTTGTAACTACTGTCAGAGATGAAAGCTTGACACGAAAGTAAATGTATTTGTCATCAAGATTTAAGCAGAACTTTCAGGAGAGGGTGCACACTGGATAGAACAACCATTTGGTTGTGAGATCTGTATACTAGTACAGCTTTTTCTGCGCAAGGAAGAAAACAACTGGAACGTCTCCAATTTGCTGTACGGTCTCTGATTGTAACTGCAGTCACTTCTTAGTGGTCATCTTGGTATACAGTGTATGAATAGCCTGCCCGTTCGACTTTTCAGAGAGTTCCCATCTATTTTTGTTTTTCAACATTACAGCTCTGAAGTGTTTTTTGTCGAGGCCCAGTGGTCATTGAATCTTACAAACTATATCCAGTTACTGGGGGCAGTTTATGCGACATTTCACCTGTCACTTTTTGTTGGCATGACTGTGAGCTGGTCATTAACTTCTCGTGAAATCAGATAACCGTTATTCAGTTAAAAAATTTTTTAGAATTGCCAGTTTTTGGAAATCTCTGATTTTCCCCTCAGCTAAAACAGACATCAAAGAATGCACACTGGTAAGACACCAATTGCCTGTGATACCTATGATAAAGACTTTTGCGAACTTAGTAATCAGAGAAAACATAGGACCGTTTGTGAGATCTGCAGTAAAACCTTTTCTCAGCAAAATCTTAAAAAACACAATCTGGATCCACACCAAACATAAACCTTTTGATCGTCAGATCTGTGATAAAGTTTTCTCTGAGCGAGCAAGTTTAAACACACATGAGAGGATACACACTGGAGAGAAACCATTTTGTTTGTGAGAACTGTGGTAAAACCTGTGCTGGCAAAGGTTATCTGCGCTCACATCAAGAGGGTGCATACTGGATAGAAACCATTTGTTTGTGAGACCTGTGGCAAAGCCTTTTCCCAACCGAGTGTTCTTAAAGAACATATCAAGTTGCATACTGGTGAGAAACCATTCTTTGGTGAGACCTGTGGTGAAGCCTTTTCTCCACAAGATAGTCAAAACAAACATGAAATGATGCATACTGGACAGAAACCGCTTGTTTGTGAGGCGTTTCGTGAAACCTTTTCTCAACAGGTTAATCTTAAAACGCATATCAAAGTGCACACTGGTGAGAAACCATTTGTTTGCGAGACCTGTGGTAAAGCCTTTGTTTGGAAACATTGCCTTCCCAGACACGAGAGGCTGCACACTGGTGAGAAAGCATTTGTTTGTGAGTTCTGTGGTAAAGCCTGTTCTCAACAAGGTGATCTAATCAGACATGAGAGGGTGCATACTGGAGAGAAACCATTTGTTTGTGAGATCTGTGGTAAAGCCTTTTCTCGGCGGAGTATTCTTAAAAAGCATGTCAAGGTGCATAATCTTAAAAAACATATCAAGATGCATTGTGGAGAGAAACCATTTGTTTGTGAGATCTGTGGTAAAGCCTATTCTACACGAGCTACTCTAATCAGACATGAGAAGGGCCATACAGCATGTACAGGGGAGAAAACATTTGTCTGTGAGTCCTGTGGAAAAGCCTTTGCTTGTCCAAGTCAGCTACGCTATCATGAGCGGGTGCACACTGGTGAAAAACCATTTGTTTGTGAGACCTGCGGTAAAGCCTTTTCTACAAAATCTGGTCTAATCAGACATGAAAGGGTACCTCATGGAGAGAACCGAGATGTTTGTGAGATCTGTGGTGAAGCCTTTTCTCGGCAGAGTAGACTTAAAGATCATATGAAGGTGCACACTGGTGAGAAACCATTTGTTTGTAAGACCTGTGGTAAGGCCTTTTCTACACGAGGTGTTCTAATCACACATGTGAGGGTTCATACTGGAGAGAAACCATTTGTTTGTGAGATCTGTGGTAGAACCTTTTCAACTCGAGTTTATGTACGCAAACATGTTAGGCTCCATACTGGTAAGAAACCATTTGTTTGTGAGATCTGTGGTAAAGCGTTTTCTGCTCGAGACTATCTACGCATACATGTGAGGGTTCATGCTGCTGAGAAACCATTTGTTTGTGAGACCTGTGGTAAAGCCTTCCCTACACATGGTTCTCTAATCAGACATGAGAGTGTTCATACTGGTGAGAAACCATTTGCTTGTGAGATCTGTGGTAAAGCCTTTTCTTCTCGAGATAATCTACGCAAACATGTTAAGGTTCATACTGGAGAGAAACCATTTGTTTGTGAGACCTGTAGTAAAGCCTTTTCTTCACGAGTTGATCTACTCAGACATGAGAGGGTTCACACTGGAGAGAAACCATTTGTTTGTGAGATCTGTGATAAAGCCTTTTCTCGGCGGAGTAGTATTAAAAGGCATATCAAGGTGCATACTGATGAGAAACCTTTTATTTTATGAGACCTTTGGTGAAGCCTTTTGTACATGAGGTAATCGAATCAGATATGAGAGGGTGCACACCAGTGAAAAATCATTTGTTTGCAAGATCTGTGCTTGAGCCTTTTCTACATGAGGTGTTTTGATCAGACCTGAGAGGGTGCACACTGGAGAGAAACCATTACATGTATTTGAGAGACATGTGGTGTAAAGCCTTTGCTTGTAAAAGTACTCTATGCAGCCATATGTAGAATGCATACTGGAATCGATTTGTTTATGAAACCTGTGGCCAAGCCTTTGCCATCAAAAGTAATCTTCATGCACACGAGAGGATGCACGCCTGAGAGAGAGACCATTTATTTTGTTTGTGAGATCTGTGGTAAAGCCTTTGCTCAGGGAAAAAATCTGAAACTGTCAATGTACATGAGAAACCATTGTTTGTGAGACCTGTGGTACAGGCGTTTTGTGAGGAAATCTAAATAGACAAAAGGGTACATACTGGTCAGAAGTCGATTATGAATGACCTTGGGTAAAGTCGTTTCTGAGCAAGGTACATAATACCTTTAGTCTTAACCTACATAAAAGGATGCACAAGAATGTGGGAAAAACATGTAGGCCTAATTCGGACGATTCACAATGCAGTGCGCCACCCAGAGTTTGTCACGGAGAGTTCATTTTTACCAGTGCATTGTGGGAGATGGTCGACAAATTTGCAGCGCGGGATACTTGAAATTGTTCGTTTTTCCGGTCAGTGGTTTCTTAAGCGTATGGTTCGAGGATCTGTTTGCCCATTTCTTTTCTTGTTATCAATATGGTGTTTCTTTGTAAGGCGGCATAACACTATGCCCCAACCTATGACATATGAGCTCAAGTTGTCTACGACACTCAATCTGATGAGCCATGTTTTGTCGACCGTAAATTTGAAAAAATGAACTCTCCGTGTTGTCACATTAAAGGGGGCACTTTTCTGAGGAATGTATCTAAAGTACATGTACTAAAGGTTCGATTTGGTTGTAACTTGATATTTTACCTAAACCCGGATGTGTTTTAGATGAAAAATCAGGTCATTCGAAACAACTGGTACATGTACTCTCTATCTGTACTTTTATGTAATCTTTGTATTTTTGATCTCAGTTGCTGTGCTTGTTTGCATTTTAGTGTGTAATGGCTACTTTCGGTTTATTCCTAATGACATGTGTCTTGGACGTGGAAGAAAGCGTTTTAGACACATATTCCACATGTCAAAATGTATAGAGGGTAATTGTATTGTTTATTACCAGATATGGATGGATTTGGGTCGTTAATTGGTAGTGCCTTTTAGTTATCCATCACACATTGACGAAACCAAAAATATCTCAGTAGAACCATTGAACTGGCTTAATTCTGTACAATTTCACTTTGCAAAGTTTATGTTGCCTCTTTATCGCTTGATCCTATGTACCTTGAGAAGAATCTTTTGTTCAAATCATTTTAATATATTTTGTATTGATAAGGAAAGGAATGCATAATGCATAGCTGCCAACTGTTACTAATTTTTCGTAATTATTACGAATTGTTTGTTAAATTACGAAAATACGATTTGCCACTAAAACATTACGAATTTCCCATTTTCTACCTAATGAAAAAAAAATACTTGTAAAGTATCGTTTTTGACCGAAAACTTCTGGCGAAATGTCGCGATAATGGATGGACTGGTGACAAGTCTAATAAGAATGCAGTCAAACACCTGATAGACATCAATGCAGTGTGCGCAGTGGAGTACTTGAGGACCAGACTAAAACTATTTTTCAATGGTGTGTCATTTGTGTGCATCTCGTAGATGTGTGGTTGTGTGTACTGTATGTAAGTACTTTTCAGTGACGATCGTGAGCACATTTGGTCGCTTATTGCCGGGTTGAGACCCATCAGTGCGAGAATTTAATCATGGAATTTAATTAGAGTATGGTTGGAATATTGGTATTACAGTTTGAGTTTGTCACAACGTCCAGAAAAGATAAATCAGCATGCGTTTGCAAGGTATGTTGGCGGGATATTTCTATTGCATACGGTCATGACGGTGGCCCTAAATCATTGTGTGTAAAAACATTGCAGTGATACGAACTCGAAACTCCACATCGATAGCATGCATCTCAAAAAAAATATGCGCACATTTTATTATTGTTATTATTTATTTGACTCCAACAAACAAATACAGACATTAAACAAAATTGTAAAAAAAAAATTAAAAAAAAAATATTTTTTTTTTTTTAATTTTTTTTTTTTTTAATTATCTTTTGGCCTACATTACATTATTATTCACAAGAAGAAGGGTATGCACATGTATGTATACATGTAAACCATGTACCTGTACTCGATGTTGGTAAAACGAGCAGTTGAAAATGACCGCGCGGGTTGATTACTAATTGGGATTTTGAAATGTTGCCAGCTATGATAATGACACTAACTAGATTGATATTAATATTCTAGAAATTGATTTTGTAAAACAAACTATGGAAAATACAGTTTCATATTACAGAATGAAACATGAAATAAATGAATCATGTGTGAAGTTAAAATTATTCTGCAAAGTTCAACAAGTGCTAAATGGCTAGAAATAATAATAACTAATTGATAACTAATTCTTGTATAGCGCCAAATCTGTCGATATGGCGTGTAGATTAACTTAATGCAGCTTTTTTTGTCATTTTTAAATTATTTCAGATTTCTGTTCTGTGACAACATCAACTGCGTAAGGCACTCTGTTGTGGAATCTTGTGAATTCATAGATCCGATCACTGACAGAGCTCAGGAAGATCAGCAACCAGCCAATGTGACGATGCTCCCATGATCCTAAGCAGACAGGTGCTTGTAATACTTGTTGGAACTAATGTCACCCATAGAGCTTCAAACAAAGCTTGACACGAAAGTAAAAGTATTTGCCATCACGTTTTAAGCTGAACTGGCAGGAGAGGGTGCACAAACACCGGATGGAACAAACCATTTGGTTGCGAGATCTGAAGTATAACCTTTTCTCAGCAAAGTCGTGAAATTTGAATCGGGGCGCACACTGCTGAGAAACCTTTTCTTTGGCAGACCTGCAGCGGTAAAGTCTTTTCCTCGGCAAGGAAGTCTAAACAAACTTGAAGGGATGCATACTGGACAGAAACCATTTGTTTGTGAGACCTGTGGTAAAGCCTTTGCTTCCAGATCTAATCTACGCTCACATGAGAGGGTCCATACTGGTGAGAAACCATTTATTTGTGAGACCTGTGGTAAAGCCTTTGCTGTCAAATCAAATCTACGCTCACATGAGAGGGTCCATACTTTACAGGAAAAAATTGTTTGTGAGACCTGTGGTAAAGCCATTGCTGGCAAACATAATCTACGCTTACATGAGAAGGTTCATACTGGTGAGAAACCATTTGTTTGTGAGACTTGTGGTAAAGCCTTTTCTCTACGAGCCAATCTAATCAGACATGAGAGGGTGCACACTGGAGAGAAACCATTTGTCTGTGAGTTCTGTGGTAAAGCCTTTGCAGGTCAAAGTCATCTACGTGCACATGAGCGAATGCACACTGGTGAGAAACCATTTGAGTGTCAGATATGCGGTAAAGCATTTTCTACACGACGTGATGTAATCAGACATCAGAGGGTGCACACTGGAGAGAAACCATTTGTTTGTGAGACATGTGGTAAAGCCTTTTCTCAGCGGAGTATTCTTAAAGGACATATCAAGGTGCACACTGGTGAGAAACCATTTGTCTGTGAGACATGTGGTAAAGTCTTTAGTGCTCGAAGTAATCTATGCAAACATGAGAGGGTCCACACTGGTGAAAAACCATTTGTTTGTGAAAGATGTGGTAAAGCATTTTCTACCCCAGCTAATCTACGCAAGCATGAGAGGGTTCATACTGGTGAGAAACCATTTGTTTGTGAGACCTGTGGTAGAGCATTTTCTACTCGAGATATTCTATGCCAACATGGGAGGGTACATACTGGTGAGAAATTGTTTGTTTGTGCGACTTGTGGTAAAGCCCTTTCTACACGAAATTCTCTAATCAGACATGAGAGGGTGCACACTAGAAAGAGCCCATGTTTGTGAGATCCGTGGTAGGGTATTTTGTAGACGAGGTACTCTAATCAGACACGAAGGCATATATCAAGGTGCATACTGGTGAGAAACCATTTGTTCACGAGATCTGTGGTCAAGTGTTTCAACTTTTCTGTTTGAAGTAATCTACGGCAACATGAGAGGGTCCTTACTGGCGTAAAAACATTAATGTGTTTGAGACCTGTGGTAAAACCTTTTCTACTAAAGATAATCAATGTCAATATGGGAGGGTTCATACTGGTGAGACCTGTGGTAAAGCCCTTTCTGCATGAGATGTTTTGATAAGACATAGAGGGTACACACTCGAGAGAATCCGTTTTTGTGAGATCCGTGGTAAAGCCTCTTGTTTTACAAACGAGCTACTCGAGTCAGACACGAAAGGGTGCGTACATGTAAAACATGTAATAAGTGGGGATGTGAGAGCTGTGGTAAAGCCTAAACTAGTGAGAAACCATTTGTTTGTGGGACCTGATATGGTAAAGGCTTTTTTCAAGGAAATCTTCTTAAAAGTCATATCGGGCCGAGGAAGCGAGATGGATGGCAAAAATAAATGATTAACCACTCTCCGCACAACCGAGCAGTTACCAATACCAAACATTTGAATAAACTGAAATCTGGTGTGGAAGCAAGATTCATGGTTGTATTTGTATACATTAGTTTTATTTACAAACGACTGCATATGATAAATGCATTAAAATATTATAAATACGTGTATTGTTGAATTTTACATAGAGACAATGAAATCTATGTGTACATTATTGTGGCGAAAAAGTTGTGTGGGGGAAGAAAAATATGGACCGAGGAATGGGATGAGTAGACGCGCACTGGCACCTCAGCTGTCCTCAAGCTGTATATCGAATAATACATATACATTATTTTAGGAACGGGAAAATTATCCTTAAAGAACCCCTAGTGCTGCCAACAGACGAAATAGTTAAAACTTAAACCCTCCGGAGTTTCACCTCTCCGGTTCAGCTATTCTCGATAGCTGACGTGGATCCGGGTCAAAATATATGACAAAGCTGCCTATAGAGGAGAACACCTCACAGGCAGCAGGAGGCCATACAGACTGGAATCCAGACATTCCGAGAACAAAACTTGACCGATAATTGCATTGTATTTAAATCAAAATCTGCAACTCCAGTCAAGTCAGCACACCCTTTTTAGCCATATGATTGCGAAGGCAAAGCTTCGGTCGTTGTCAAGGAAAGCTAATCCCATTACATACAAAGACGCTGTAACAGAGCGTTGAAATTGTCGAAGAGGATAAGAAAAATTATTTGCCGACCCAACCCATCTGCATTGTTCAGCAACAGCGCCGTAGGCGCTATACGGCTGACCGATTTCGGCCCAGCACACAATGATGAAGGGCATATTAGCATATTCATTAGCATCGCTCAGCATGATATGGCGTGGGTCTCGGTATCGACCAATGGAACCCGGCAAAAAGGGTAAGATTCGTTACTTAACAACTCGCGAAGGAGGCTTTTATGCACTTGTTTACTACTGCACACCGTAATGGATGGGAACCTCATTAATATTCATGAGGCTTGAAAAGATTGATAGATATTGGGCACGCTAGTGTTACAATTTTCAAAATTGCAGGTAGCCAGGCCTATTTTTACAATTTCAACGAAAAGTAATGAACATATCACAACGACTTTTAGCACATAGTATTACTTCGATCATTATAGGGGAAATAAATCCTGAAAGGGGCATGCATGAATTTACGGTCTTCCAAATAGGAGAAATTAATTTTCAAAGATCTCACCCGCCAACGTGAACATGTCTGTGCGCATGTAGTTTCATTCAAAATAAAGTGTTGCGCAACCTTTAGAAATCGCCCTTCGCAACCATATGGCTGTTTTTACCTTCAGTATTTTACAATTCCCAGTCATATTATTATGTGACCAGGGACAACAGGCTCTTCAAGTTTAGATGGAAAATATACTGTTTTTATTCCTTGTCAGTGGCCGCATGGCAGCAAAGCGCAGCCAGCGCTGTGAAACTTTCTTTAAATTACAAGACTGCACAACATGTGTGTGCTCTTGTTGGTGGCTAAAATACAAAACTGTACAAAGCTAATCTAAACCACAGGATGTTGGCCAGTGCCTCATATTCCTGGGCAGACCACATAGGGATTATGAATAAACAGAGCTAATAAGGGGGTGATAAAACAAAGTAAACTAGTGTAGAAAAGCTAGAGTCTAATGAATAATAATAAGGTACATGTAGTCAGGCCACCTGCCTGGAGGTAATTACTTTTTCAGAAACTTGGAATGTGTGGTTGACCCACCCAGGGCCAAAGGACAGATTTTCTCACTCATGCTCGCAGTGGTGAACAAAAATATAACATACATAAAAACAATGAAGATAATAATAAGTTCAATACTTGGAAAATAGATCAGCATAAAAACAATCCAAAACTTGTGAAAAAGAATCCCACGCACTGACTATTAGGATATAAAATATTAAGAAAACTTTCAGTAAAAATAAGAAAAACAAAGGTGCCAAAAAAGATAACATTGAAATATGTTCCAAATAGTTCACCGGTTACATTTCTCCACTGCTAAATTGTTGGGTTCCACACCAACAACACGTGTGAATATTAATTTTTCTAGGTATAAATGTGTTTAAAAACCAATCAGAAAGGATTAAGTAACTAAAGACTTAAAATTATTCAATAAATTGGTGAAACTACAAACTAGTAACATAATAAAAATTAAGAAAACGAAAGCAAGATGAATCCAATTTGCAAAATTGATGTTATTTTGAAGAACTATAATTATGGGCACATGATGGAGTCCTGAATATTTTTTTCCTGTATTATGAAGGGCGGATCGAGTTAAATGTTCAGTGTTCATGTGGGACGGTGTCTCCACTGCTTGTCCAGTTGGGTGCTTATTCACAAAGCACCCGTAAATGTTTGCGTTGCGGGGACCCGTAAGTGGATGTTAAGGGCACGTAAGACTTGCGTTAAGTGGTATTCACGAAGCACCCTTAGAGTTCCCTTAGTGGACCCGCATGTTGCGGGCACCCGCAACTAATTGGTTGAACATAAAAAAAACACATGCCATGACATTTGATCCCATTTCAGAGTTCTTGCTCGTAGAGTCGATTAAAGATTAACTTGTCTTTGTTTTCTTAGCAAACAATCAACACCAATCAAGCATGTCTTTAAGAGCATGTTCTTCCACTCATTTAAAGAAAAAAAATGAATCACAAAAATGTACCATTGCTTTCAGAAGTTATGCATGTGTTACAAACGTAGCCCATTTTTATAGCTGTCCTTGAATGTCATTGGAAGCTATTGAGTTTTATAGTGAGAATCATATTACAGACAAACTTTAAAATGCCAACAAGACTTTAAAGGAAACACGCAGTGGAAATTCAGCTCATCTTGTTCTCTTGCACATTATTATGTGTCGCAACAATACATACAAGATCGTAATACTTGTTTTCGTTGGAAGTGACAAGAAAGTGGTAGTTTTTCAATTGTTAGCAAATCCTTTCATCAATACAATCGCATGTAAGGCCCCGGAAAAGTCTCCGGTTTCTGGTATGGAGCTTGCCCAAAAAGTGGTGCAGCGACGCGGCTTTTTTTTTTTTTTTACCCGACTTTTTTGCTTCAAATGTCGGCTGATGACTGCAAATGGTGCCCGACTAAACTGAGTACAAATAGGCCTATATGGGATTGGGAGTCCAGAGAGGCCACATAAAGCTTATTCTCGACCATAACTCATCTAAAACACGTTAAAAATGTGCAGCAGCAGGATTCCAGTCAAACCAGTGAGTTTGGCGGTTTTGAGACATCATCGTTCATTGAAAAAAAACCTTTTTCATTTTGCCGACGCGCATGGCTACAGCGACGCGCGCGCATACCAGAAACCGGAGACTTTTTTTTTTGGCCTAACCAACTGCAAATGAGATCAAAGAAAGTCGTAGCCTGAAATTCCCCTCGCAGTTTAGGTTTAAAGGGAATATACATCATTTGCTTTTGCTGTAATTTTCAGAAATGGATGGAATTGGGGGTTGGAAATATAAAGCAAATATAGTTACACTGACTTTTTGGAGGTTTTGGGTTCGAAAATGCTATAAAAACCAAATAAAACGATCATTTTCCTGTAGTCTGGTCCCCTGACTCCATATAAGAAGAAACAGAGCAGTTTACATACATTGGGGAATTGTAAGGTCAGGGAACCAGTCTAGCTGGCTCGTACCCGTTCATAGGTTTGTAATCGATTGCAAACAAGTGCAATGGTCAATTGGGGCCAGTATTTGAAAAAAAAGCCAGTTGTTTCCAACGCTGATCGGCCGATCAGCGTTGGAAATTGATACAAAAATACCACTTTTCTTGAAAATGACAGTATACCAGGTGCCATAATTTTACAGGATGCTTTAGACTGTCATTTACCAACATCCTATTAAGGTATTTCGCAAAAACTTGGTAGTTTTATTTTTCGATGTTTGCAAATGTTGTATATTCCCTTTAACAATAATGCGAATGACTGATGTCCTTTTGGTTTGACAGCACTTGATTTACGATCCGGGTGGTGCAGCTAAAAATAAATGTTGTATAGGCTATTAAAGATTCAGAAACTCTAGACAAACAATTTGTGAAATGGTTTACAGTTATGGTTACGAGAAAAAAAGGACGGCGTGCAGGGTTGAACTTGTGTAGGCTTGGGCCTATTCACACTACCTTAGTAACACGCAGGCGTTTATGGTAAACATACATGTTTATATATAAACACAGTGCATGTTACCAAGGTGGCCTGAATAGTAGGATGTATTTTTTAGAGATGTGTGATGGAAACACAAGACCGAATTTTTTTTATGATAGGAACACACATTGCAAATATACTTTTTGAATTATGAAAATTTGTGTAAAAAAGGAGAAAGATTGCAAATTGCAAAGACTAAACAATTAATGAATTGGAGAAGTGCTGGCTATGCGCTATTTTGATGGTCCTTCTGAGGGAAAATTATTTTATATACCAAGTGTTGCAGTTTGCTCTGAGTGCTGCACTTTTCTCTATATCGATTGTGATTAAAAGTATTCACACGTGTTCGTTTTAAGTTTTTTCTGTTGTTTTAAAATATAAAAAAATAATTATGTTACAGTTGTGTCAGTCAAACTTGATATTATTGCCGAAATCAATGTAAATAAAATTGTCTCTTTAATTAGGCCTATATCTCGGGACAAGGCTTTCCATTGAATTTGTGTTTTCGTGATTTTCATTGTAATTGCAGGGAGTCAAAAAGGGAAGTCAGTTGCATTTTCTCCTTTTGGGGGGGGGGGGGGCGATGAAGTTTATAGTTAACATGTAAATTCAGTATTTAGTGTTTGGTCATCCGTGGGCCATGGGGTACATCCGTGTCGAAGATTGGGGGTGGATATGACCCCAAATCCTCCACTTGTGGAAATTCGGGGGCGAAAGGGGGGAGGCTGGACACACCAGATGACGTTAGGGGGCTCTGTTCATGGTATATATAGACTTTCCCAGCCAATTTCCTGAAATGTTCATTCACTTCCGAAAATCGGTCATTCATTTTCGTCTGAATTTGAGAATCGCTCTGAACACGCGTTTCATGCATTTTCGCTATCAGAGCATTCGATTTCATTTCCATTTAATCAATTAAGTGATTGAGCAGCACATTTCGTTTATGCTCATTCAGATTCGTTTACAAGACTTCCTTTTCGCTTTTAGAGGGCGATTTCAAAAA